ATCCTGAGCTTTGTCACGCCTTAATATAAAGACCAAAGATTGCTTCCTTTATATCTTGGTTAAGTCATATTTAAAGCAAACAGTCTGTGTCAACACTAGCTGTTTACTTGCTCAGGTCCGCAAAGAGTACAGCAAGTGCTTCCGCCACACGTACTGCTGCGGAGGGCTGCCCACCGAGAGCTCGCACGGCTCCACAAAGACATCGACCACACGAACTAGTGCACGCTACTCTTCTGGTACACAGGTAGAGCAGGAATTTTATCAACTCGAGCAATGTCATGTAAGAAAAATAAGATTTAATAAGTTTTTCCTGCACTCATCATGCACCTCATTCCAAAACACCTCAATTTAAAGTGTTGCTTAGGAAATTTTAAAGTGCCTGTGACATCAATTTTTTTGCAATAAATATGAATGAAATTTTGGAAAGTTAGCATTCATAACATTCAAGCCTCTGAGTTGAACAGTTGATGAGATATTTGCACGTGAACTAAAAGGAAGTGATGTCAAAGGGAATGTCTGAATTGTGTGAAGATTGTTGCTAAAGTAGCTGACAACACAGCCAGTGGAGAAAAATCTGATGGATTTTTTATTATTATTTTGAGTCACTACCAGAGAGAGAAAAGTCATTGTTCAAATAATATTGTWTCATTATAAAAAAGAACAGAGAGATCCTTATCTTAAAGAGTTCCCCTTTGATGTCACTTCCTGTTTCATTTTGGCTGTGCCAATTTCAAAGGAAAATCTGCCAGTTAAGTGACAAAAATGATAAAATTGTGTGTAAGATGTCAAGCTTTTTTTTAAATGTAAAAATGTTTTTGGTTGCTTTGTATTTGAAGTACGTGACAGGCACTTTAAAGTGACATTAGAATTGTTCGTGCTTTGTTTCAGAATCATGGGAAAAATTTGGTATTCATTATAAAAGAGCATATTCATCTACAAACAACACTCTGCAAAGACAAAACAAACAAACAAAAAAGGGTTTTGCATGGTTATATTCATTTACAAAAAAGTACAAAGCTAACAAAATCTCCATGTATTCAGTCTTTTAAAGACACTTTTAATTAGGCCTTGATACATTCTTTGTATATTGGGTTTTTGTGGTGCATTTATGTATTTATCTAAGTGCAATAGTGCCTAATTGAATTTAATTACATGCCTGTTTATTTTATTTGCACAGTTTACTGTCAGAAAACCAGGCAGTGAGGTCTAGAAAACTGTCCAAAAACACAGGAATAAGCCTGTGTTTATGTAATATTTAGAGGTGAGATATAATTAATTTAAAGTGGCCAAAATCACAGCAGCTTCCATCATTCTTAAATAAAACAAGACCAGACATACGTCCTAAATTGGACAGATGCTTTTGTTGGCCAAATCTAAGACAAAAGGTCTTAATTAGACAGGTAAGATTCAAGCCAGTGGTCATGACAAATGAGATCCAGAGTTTCATCCTGGATATTGAAGAGTTCCACAGAGGGGACAAGCATTAGTGCAGCTTTCCCAACAATCAGGCCTTTATGGTTGAGTGACCACACAGAAGCCATTACTCACTAAAAGATGCCCTGCTGGTATTTTTTTTTCCTAAAAGGCACTCGAATACCTCTCAGACCATAGGAAGCTAATTTTTTTGGTATGATGGATAAAAGGGGTAGCACTATCTGAATGCAAACTAACAAAGAGACAAGTTAGCATTACCTCATTATCAGAGCAGACAAACATGGTGATGGCAGAATTATTCTGTGGGGATACTTTTTTAATAGGAAGTAAAGACTAGTTGGAACAGAAAAAAGAATATGAATAGAAAAACCCTGAGTAAAATTAGTTTTCTAGAAGGTTTAGAATTGAGTAGAATGGAGGTTTAGGTTTTAAAAAGACAAGTATCTGAGGCAAACAGCAAATAAAATAAATCCAAGTTGCCACAAAAAATAAGAAAGACTTCCTGGATTTGAACATAGTGTGTTTTGTTGCTTCTTTTCATCTTGGTTTATGGTTTATCTTTGCTTGGAAGAATCAAGTTTTTTTTTGTTTTTTATTTTATTTTATTTTATTTTTTGAGAAAAATGTTCCAAGCCTTTCCAAAAGAAGAATGAAGGTTTTCTGATTGAGGCCAAAGGCTCTTTACACAAACACTAAATGAAGGTTCCTCATCCATGATTTTGTTTTGTCTTTGTGGATAGTAATGATTTATATAAATTTTAAGATGTGTTGAAATTCTAAAATGTATAAAACTTGAACAAGGAAAACAGTTTTTAACTGTGCTGCAGTTTAAACATAAGTAAAAGCACATTTGATATGTTGGCTTCAGATGTACATCAAAAGACTGGCTTACAATCAGCGTCTGTTTTACTGCATGAGAACCTTTCTTCTCTTATACCCCATTTTGCACTTGTTTTTATCCCTCTGTCTCACATTGTCACATGCATGCGGAATAGTATTGCACTCTATAAAATTATTACAGGTATATTTTACTACAAAAGCTGCACTTGAAAGAAATGTACACTTGTGTTATCCCTTTCCCTTATAAGGCTAATAACCGTTGGTGTACAGTTACAGCAGTGAATCCCCGATTTTCAATGTGAATTTATGAATGGGCCTGTAAATGTCAATTTTTAGAGATTAACCCCTAAATGTGCTGTATAAATTTAATTTAATAAAAATACAGTAATATTTATGGATACTCACAAAAATGAATAATATTGACTGTTCAGCAAAAACAGAAGATTTGCTGCCTCGTTCTCACAGCAAACTGTGTTTTCATTGATGCCATAATGGTGCGCTACACTGGCATAATTTTGTTATTCCTGAAGTAAATCTGGTAATGTGACCTTCTCCTGGAGCGTCTTGAAAACCTTCTTGCGCTTCGGTTCAGTGGAAGAAGTCTTATAAGGTGCAGCACGTTTGGGTGGCATCTTAACTAGGTAAGAACAAAAAAAAGATAAAAAGGGCAAGAGCTAAACTGTTACCACTTAGCAGCTACTCACTGTAATGTAACAGTGAACAGATAGCAAAAATGCTACACTCCAGGTGAGGCACAGGGCACATCATGTGCGTCAAGACCGAGCCCACAAACTGTGTAACACAATTTAGCGTGCAGGAATTAAAACGAAAMACTGTCCAACAAAAAATTAGAGTGTGTGACCATTTTTTTTAGTTGATGACTTTGTTTTTGGCCAGGCAGGTGTAGTTTCAGTTTTTTTCTAAGAATTAATGAATGCAAATTGATCTGAAAGGTGAACAGACCTGTTTAAAGTTCTAACGAGTGTCCCTTGTTGACCTGACAGAGTCGTATCAGGAGAATGTGGAATGACACCGTAAGAAAGCAATCTGAGTCCTCCTTTATCTCAGGTGACATCAACAGCACCTCCACCCTTAACCAAGGTCAGTTCACGCCTCACCTCCTTCCACACCTATACACAGATTCCATCATCCAGCTGAAATGATCACCTCAAAGTTCTAACGATCTCACCAAGTTACAGGGTAACTGTAGTGCTTTCAGCCTGAAAAGTCATAGCAGGCTAGTAAGAAGGGACAAGGGAAGAATTAGGCCTTCAGTTTCCACACTGCCAGCTAAAGATTACAGAAATCCGTCTTCAAATACTGTGTTGTCATTCTGGTCTCTAACGTCAGCCTCAGATTGGGACTAGGCTTCTTTTTCCCCCTTTTTTAAGTGCCGGCTGTCACAGTCTAGGCTCAGGGGAAATAGACAAAACTAAAACAGAGGGGGTGTCTATATTTTCCCAAAATCCTAACATGATGCAAACTGCCATTTGTTGCTCATGTGACCTCTGTTACTTTAAAGGTAGATTTGTGGTGGAAAGAGAGAGAGAGAGAGAGAGAGAGAGAGAGAGAGAGAGAGAGAGAGAGAGAGAGAGAGAGAGAGAGAGAGAGAGAGAGAGAGAGAAAGAGTCATTTATTATTTAGCTTGAGCACAAATATGATGATGAGAAGATGATGTTCAACTCTTGCTGACCCAAAGTGCTTAGTTTGACGCTAGGCTCTCTGCTGCCTCTGAAATGGTTCTTCAAGCATGCAAAGGGGAAAAAAGGGTTTACACCACAATACTTCAAGTTCCCCTCCTCTGACCTCCTCACTGCTGCCCTTCGTTTTCCTTTTGGATGTCACTTTTTGAAAGACAAAAACAACCCATTGAGCATTTTCAGACCCATTTTGACTTGGTGATACATCAGTAACAAAACAGTTACCCCCTCCCCCCCAACCACCCCCCATGATACCATTTCCTGGAGATGTTAATGCAAAGGTTGGATATTGATCACTCCGGGGCGTAGTAGTTACCCTGGAGAGTTAGTGCACTGAAGGAGGGCTTTATCTCCTAGAAGCACTTCCATGTCATTAAAAACATCCCTGGAGACATCTCAACATGACAGATGGCATTTAACACAGGTGATAAATGGCGGTGAAAATACCTCAGATCCTGAAACCTCAATGCGAGCTTGTAAGAAAAATGAGGTAGATTTGGCTTTGGAAAGAAATGGCTTAATTTTAATCCTAATTGAAATTTGTTTTATGAAAACTTGGAATAAGTTTACAGTTTTTATGTCATATTTACATTTAAACTAACATAGACTTTTGATGATCAATGCTGACCTTAAGCTATCAAGTTTGGCAGTAGTTGAAATATAAAACCTAATTTTGTTGTTTCCTTTTGGCCTATATTTATAACACTTTATCCATACATATCACGGTCTAGAACTTAAAAAATCTAATCTAATCTGTACTGCTGGCCTGTTAATTGACTTTGCTCAGACTTGATATCATTATAGTATCAGCTTATTTAAAAGGGGAGGCATTATGTATTTTCAAGGCACATACTTCAGTTCTATACCACAATCAAGTAGCTATGTTACTTTCAAAATTGGTTTTGCATCATAATGTATCACCTTGAATTTGGCCTATGTTTCTTTAAGAACCTCCTACCCTTTCTGACAGTCCCACTTCACCACGTCCTCACACCAATGCTTCAGGGGAGGGGTGCTCTGTGGGAGCTCGGCTGGGGACTGAGCTACAGGGAGGAGCTTTGTACAAATAGGGGGTGCTTTGTACCAGCAAGCGTTTCAAATGGCTTCACATGTCTACCACAGGAGATTCAAGGATTTCTAAAACACACATGAATGAATCAAAGCAACACTCTGTGTATGTTTGATGAGGAAATGGCAGAACATGATATAAAGCTCAAAAAAGTCGATTTTGCATAATACCCCCCTTAAAATTGGCCAACTCATCAGTTATTTGCATCTAGTTTGAACTTAAAATCTTTGCTTAATTACAGGAATTCAGTGTTACTTTTGAAAACTGTTAACTAAATATGAATATAAAAATGCATACTTCAGAAAGAATATTATAATTGGTTGGAAATGAGTTGCTAAATACAGTATGTAAATGGGTTATAAAGGAGACTCAGTACATAAAGTAAAAAAAGAGCCGACAGCTGCAGATGGCCAGCTAAAGAACAAAAAGTGCCGAAATACATGTTCCTTTTGTTTGTGTTCTTTGAAAGTTTCATTTTCTGTTCTGAACTTTTAAAATAACATTCTAACATCAGATTCCTCAGAAGACAGCCTTTTTAATTATTTTCATTTCTTTTCTTGATGAAACTTTCAGTCAACTGTCAAACTTATCTGCACCTCCTCTGTCTTGCCACTCCAGGAATGACTGGGAATTATCTACTAACAAATCCTCTTCTGCGACCACAAGGCACTAACAACCCTTATAACACCTTACTGGCTGAGACAGTCGTGTGTAACACCCCCACAGCTCCAGTGTTTAACTCACCAGGTGTGCTTATTTAATTCTTTCACCTGCATTCTGCCATTTTTTTACCCCCTCCCTCTCCCCCTCTTCCCATCTCTGCTTCCCGCCCTCCTGGGCTCTTCAGTCGACTGAGGCCAAATGAAAAGCAGAATGCTCCGCAGTATCCTTTTTCCATCTTAAATCACTGTCTCCCAGTAGCTTGTGTGTACATGATGTGTTTGTGTGGAAAAACACAAACATTTTGTCATGTAGGACAGAGACTTTTGCGGTTCGCCTCCATCCCGTCTCTGTGTACTCATATTTCTTTAACGGGACATAAAGATTAAGATGGGAAATGGATACTATGTTTTGTCTTGAGTTGAAGTAAACAGTGGTGTGGATCTGAAGCTGAAGAATAAAGTGCCTAATCATTTTGATTAATTTACCATTAATGTCTTAAGGTTTTAATTTTCATGACATTTAAAGAGTACGTTTTTCTTCCATTAAGTCTTTTTTATTACAAGTTGTCAAAATTCTAATCAAATACAGCGGGTAAAATAAGTATTGAACACGTCAACATTTTTCACAGTAAATATATTACTAGAGGTGCTAATGACATGAAATTTTCACCAGATGTCAATGACAACCCAAATGATCCATACATATAAAGAAATCAAACCATAAATGTCCAGAAATGAAGTTATTTGTAATAATGTGGAATGGCACAGGGAAAAAGTGTTGAACATGCTTACTGAAATTTATCTAATACTTTGTACAAAATACTTTGTTGGCAAGGACAGCTTCAAGAAGCCTCCTGTATGGAGAAACTAGTGGCATGCATTGCTCAGGTGTGATTTTGGCCCATTCTTCCACACAAACGGTCTTCAAATCTTGAAGGTTTCGTGGGTCTCTTCTATGAACTCTGATCTTTAGTTCTTTCCATAGATTTTCAGTTGGATTCAGGTCAGGTGATTGGCTGGGCCATTCCAGCAGCTTTATTTTCTTTCTCTGAAACCAGTTGATAGTTTCCATTGGCTTTGTGTTTGGGCTCATTGTCTTGCTGAAATGTCCAGCCACGTTTCATCTTCATCATCCTGGTAGATGGAAGCAGATTTTTATCAAGAATGTCTCTGTACATTTTTCCATTCATCCTTCATTCAATTATTTGAAGTTTGCCAGTACCATATGCTGAAAAACAGCCCCACACCATGATGTTCCCACCTCCAAACTTCCCTGTTGGTATGGTGTTTTGGGGCTGATGTGCCGTGCCGTTTGACCTCCAAACATGATGTGTATTCTGGCATCCAAACAGTTCAATGTTGGTCTCATCTGACCAGACTATATTCTCCCAGTATTACACAGGCTTGTCTAAATGTTGTGCAGCAAACTTTAAASGAGCTTCAACATGCTGTTTCTTCAGCAGTGGAGTCTTGCGTGGTGAGGTGCATACAGGCCATGGTGGTTCAGTGCATTACTTATTGTTTTCTTTGAAACAAACGTACCTGCTGATTCCAGGTCTGTCTGAAGCTCTCCACAAGTGGTCCTTGGCTCTTGGACAACTCTTCTGATAATTCTTTTCACTCCTCTGTCAGAAATCTTGCGAGGAGCACTTGGTCGTGGTCGGTTTGTGGTGAAATGATGTTCTTTCCACTTCTGAATTATGGCCCCAACAGTGCTCACTGGAACCTTCAGAAGTTTAGACATTCTTCTGTAACCGATGCCATCATTATGCTTTGCAACAATAAGGTTGCGAAGGTCTTGAGAGAGCTTTTTACTTTTACCCATTATCAGATGGTTCTTGTGTGATACCTGGCCATCATTTGGGACTGAACCAGCTGATATTAATTTGCACTGACAAGGGGCAGGCTTGCTTTCTAATTACTGAGAGAGTTCAGCTGGTGTCTTGGCTTTCCATGCCTTTTTACACCTCCCTTTCTTCATGTGTTCAATACTTTTTCCCTGTGCCATTCCACATTATTACAAATAACTTCATTTCTGGACATTTATGGTTTGATTTCTTTGTATGTATGGATCACTTGGGTTGTTACCGACATCTGGTGAAAATTTCATGTCATTAGCACCTCTAGTAATATATTTACTGAGAAAAATGTTGACGTGTTCAATACTTAATTTGCCCGCTGTATTTGGCAACTGACTATACTAGTGCACTGCATTAAAAATCTGTTCTCAGTTTCAGTTGATTCTTAACAATAGTCATGTTTACATGTGGAAAATTATTTAATAATCCAAATGTTTTGTTTAAATTGGCTCTAAATTAATTAATCAGGTCATGACGAGAGTTTAGATGCACCAGGCTTTTATTCAGAATAGAAGGAATGACATACACAGACTTGTAAACTTTCCCCATAAAAAGAACAAAAACCCACAGAAGAAGTTTTACTTCCATGATGAACATAAACAAACATTAAAATAAACAAATGTTGAAATAACTATGTTCCTACACTTTCAACCATTTAGGCATTCAATAATTTTGAGCTCTTTCAAAGTTTTTAATATAAATTTTGTTTCGCTAATAAACCAGTTTTGCTTCCCCAACATATTAGTATCTAGCCTGGTGGAAATACATCAAGAAGGTCAGTTTTCCACAACCAGAATAACATGATCAGAATAAGTGTTCACATTTTCATCATTTAGATTATCAATCAGCATAAACTGCCCCACTCGTTCGAATTACATGTTCATTCCATTCAAGCTGAATCAGATCAGAATATTCCAAGTGGGGCGTTTACTTTATGCATTTTCCCCCAATTTTCCATTTATTCCAATTACTTATGTCCATGTAAACATAGCTAATGTTAAAAAATGTGATGTATTGTTTGTTGTTTTCTGTTTTGAAACTGAAATGGCCTTTTTGTCACATTTTATGTTTTTCCCCTGTGCTTCCCTTTAGTGACCTACAGAGAGACAAGTATGGGAGTAAAACTTAACTTTGCCTATCAAATGTAAATTTTTTTCAGCATGCTTATTAAAAAAAACAACAACAACAACCCAAACCCTGGCACCATCACTGGTTTTATTTTAGGCCATTAACACACACTCAGAGAGCAAGTGGTTCACAAAATTACTCACTTCAAAACCTACTTTGATCTGAAAGAAAATTAAAAGGTTTTATTGGGCGATTCTTCCAAATTGGTTTATTTCGACTTTGCCCACAAGTCTGCTTGATTTTCTGTTGCTTAATTTGTTTTCGCCAGCCTAAATTTCTTCTGCTGTTTTCTATCAGAATGGAGCATTTATCAAATGCCTTCTTAGCTATCCTTTTTTCTTTTTAACTCTCTGGATGTGTCAGTCTCTTTGTCCACATATGGCACTCAACAGTCTCAGTGTCCGGTATTATTCCTGTCACACGCCTTCAGACAACACCTGTCTGGACACTAAATTGCCTCCTAGCAGGCATTAACACATGGATGTCATGGCAGCAGCTGTTCACTTTCTCACTTTCTTTTCCAAACTTTTTGTCAAGCATTTCCTCTAATATCCAATTAATTCAGTAAAGTGTTTACCATTTAGAACTTTTAATTTCCCCACTTTTCTTGTTTGGCATTGACAAACATTTCCATAAATCTCTGCAGTCATCCTAATCTTTGCATGTTTTTTTTCTACAAGGAGAACAGCCACAGCATGGCACATTTTTCCCCTTATCTCGCCTCTCAATCACGACACAAAATATTTAGATTTCTTGCTGCTGCATTTCATGACCTTCGTGCTTTGAGGAATTCCTAACATGTCCGTGCCTGACCTCTGCAGCGGCTGTATTTTCTTGAGCTGTTCGCCCAGTGGCCAGTGTCTCACTGGGACCTGTTACTGATGGATGCCAAGTGTTGGGCTGTGGACAAGCTCTGACCTTTGCCAGCTTTGGGTACACAAGCTGCCAACTATTGGACTTCAATTGTACCCGCACAAAGTCAAGCAAAAAAATAAAAAATAAAAAAAACTTTAAGATTTCCCTTGCAATGGCATTTATTTAATCAAAGCAAAAAGCAGTTTAATGCTTGTTCCTCTTATTTGCTGAACCCTTGCTCCTGCTAAGTTGCAATTCAGACTTTTCTTGCATTTTGTTCTTTTGAACGATTTTCCATGTTACAATAAATCATTTTACTTTTTTTTTGTACATCAGCTGCTCTTAGACCAGATAGCCTGAGCAGACAGACATGATGTGAGTTTAAAGTGAGTCTTTCCACCTGCTGTGTGTGGTGATGGTGGAGTGCTGCTTGTGGGCTCCCCTTGTAGTGAGAATAAAAAAATGGCTGCCCTGTGTTACTACATACCCACTTTCCCTTTTCTGTTGAAGTCATTTTTCCCCATCTTTATCTATTTATTTGCCTCAGCACATCCCAACCCGTTAGCTGCTAGAAAACCTGTGCATCTTAGTGCTTGCCATTTTGTGGCTTCATACATGTGAATACTGACTTTTGCCCGATTGTGTTGTGATGGTGCTTAATGTTACAGTATGTTTCTTAATGTTGTTTGGGATCTTTTTCATTGCTTTGTCACATTTGTGGCAGACTGAAGTGCATAATGCTCTGCTTTCTTTACAGCAACTTTTGAAAGGGAAAGCTGAATTGTAAAAATGAGAAAGTAAAATGATTTCTCATTGCAAATATTGCATGATATGTCTTATATGTTAGTAACTGTACCTAACTAACAGATTTATGGCATGGCTTGAATTAACTTTAGATCTTTTTACGTGAAACTGCATCCTAAACAGCATTAAACCTTTATTTTTTTCATGGTTGCCGGTGTTGATTTAAGTGATATCTCGTCTGTTTTTCTTTTCTCAGGGCACTCACTGAACAGTGCGGTGAGGGATACAAGTGCAATGGACACTCTACCGCTAAATGGTAACTTTAATAATAGCTATTCACTCCGAAATGGGGACTTTGGCGACAGTGTGCAGGTAGTGGACTGCGGGCTTAGCCTGGACGATGCTGCCTTTGAGAAAATGATCATCTCCGAGCTTGTGCACAACAACCTGCGTGCCTGTAACAAAAGCCACCAACAGCAACAGCAGAGGCATTCCACTTTACGTCATCCACCCCCCCACCAGCAGCCGCCACAATACCACCATCACCACCACACGGAGCGGGCTCCGCCCAAGGTGACAGTGGTTGGTGGCAGCAGCAGCGAAGACGACGCCATTGTAGCCGATGCGTCGTCTTTGGTCCACGTGAGCGACGCCGTGGGCCTTGAGCTGCACCATCAGCGGGAGCTGGAGGCGCCGCTCATCCCCCAGCGGACTCACTCGCTTCTGTACGCACCCCAGAAGAAGGTGAGGACCGACGGGGGGGTCGATACATTTGTCAGTGAGCTGACACCCACCGACCCTGACAACAGTCCGCAATCACCGAACAGAGACTCCTTGTACACTAGTATGCCTAATCTGAGAGACTCTCCGTGCCCGGAGAACAGCCCCGATGTCGTGGAGGATCTCTCCCCCACCAAGAGGAGTGAGAATGAGGACGTTTACTACAAGAGCATGCCTAACTTAGGGTCTGGCCACCAGCTCCAAGCCTATTACCAGATAGGCCGAGGGAGCAGTGATGGTTTCATTATTCCCATTAACAAAGAGGACTGCATCCCTGAAGGTGATGTACGAGAAGGACAGATGCAGTTAGTGACAAGCCTTTAAATGTATTTAAATCATCTTCAAACCTCCCTGCCCTTTACACAAATCTGACTTCTTGCAAGACACAGTAGTGAAGGCAGGAAAAGTGTTTTATTATTTTTTTAAGAGTCTAGAAGTTCAATCACACAAATGTACCACTTCCAAACTCCCCTTTCCCCCATTTGCATTGCCATCGCCCCTCCACTTTCCTCCCTACCCTGCACACCCAGAGACTTGCAGCACGGCGACAGCAGTGCAACGTTTTAAAGAGACTGTACATAAAATGTAGAGTCAAATTTCAGTTTTAAGAGACAAGCCAATTATGTATTTAAATGTGCTGCTGCTGTTGAATCGTCGAGAAAACGGAAGGTGTGAGAACTGAAATAAAAAAGGAACACAGAAACATTACCGCAACGTCCAAACAGCAATTTCTTTGTCAAAGATTGTACATACACTTCACAAAGTGGAACCATTTTTTTCACCCCCACCCCCTCCCTCCCCTGACCAGGTTGTGGACATGTTTGTCATTTGATCCTGATCAGACTGTTAGAAAGGAATATAAGGTCTTGACCCACTCTCCATCACCATGAAGTTCGGATTGTAAAACCACTAGCAATCAAGCCCCTGGCCTTATATTTTCTTAAATGTACCTTGAACAATTGTCAAGGACAGAAGAAAAAACTGCTAGAATATATATTTTGTTGTATTGCTAGTGTAAAATAAAAATTCACGAGAAAGCGTAATTCTACAGAAACTTTTAAATGCAAAATTTAACATTTGAAAGACTTATTGTGTAGAGAAGATGAAGACATGTAAAAGCGTGTGTTTATGGTTCCAACACTTCATTCACATTTATATGTTCAAGTGTAAAGGCTTATTAAAAGAAAGGACATGATCAATTACAAAGATGCATCATCACTTTTTTTCCGCTTGTGAACAGTGTTTTTTGCCTAATGAGTTCTGTTGATATTGTCCATTGAAATATCTTTATCTGACTTTGCCAAAGTGGCATCACTGTAGTAGGATGGGATTGCAACAGCCCAGTTAAGGTAATTATGCATTGCACATTTCTTTTCATTTTCATTTATCTTTCTTTTTTAATTTAATTTTTTATTTTTATTTTTTTGCAATTATGATTGAAATATATCTTTTAAAAGTCACAGCAGAGTGATGGACAAACGCTAGCTAAAAACAAAACAGACTTTTGACTATAAAGTTTTTATCATAAATGTAGTTCTTCCGCTGGGGTTTGAATATTTTATTTATTGAAATCTTTCCAAAAAAAGTAAATGGGAAATGTGTGAATATTTTCCCACACTGGTATACATGCTGTACTGTAGCTCATTTTTTAAAATGTAAACATAAGGGGCTTATCACTTAAGACTGATGTAAAGTTCAACACTTGTTTAAGAAATACAATAAATGTGAGATTTTTGTCAAAAAGACATTTGCTTTTTTAATGGGTTGTGTTTTTGCCACATCTTTAGAAAGCAGGTTTGACTATTTTGCTATGGACAAAAACTCACGTTTGACTCAGGTTTTAAGTAAGTCCCTTGAAAGACGAAATTTGTTTTTTGGAAAATATATTTGCTTTGTTTTTGTTTGTTTTTTTCTTTTTGCTATTTCTTCGATCACTGCAGAGTAGAAAGAGTTCACCATGTGTGTTAGAGAAGCCAAATTTGTCCATGTGATTCAAACATGAGAAACTCAGGTAGGAAAATTACATTGTAAATGTTTCTCTGTGTGGTTGTAACACTAATAAAAGGTTGAAAACTGACACTGGTTCAAAACATTGTCCACTTAGTACATTATTGAATGACCACAGTAGTAGGCATAGGTAAAGGGTTAAATACTGAAATGCTGCCTGTAATGGAAGATGGGAGTATAGGAGAGTTCATGTCTAACTAGAGCGTCACATGTGCAGAGGTGGGCAGTAACAAAGTAAATTTACTTGAGTACAGTACTTAAATATAGTTTTTAAGAATTTGTACTGTGAGTAGCATATTTATTTATTTTTTTTTGAAAATGTAATACTGTCATTTCACTCCAATTGTGTGT